AGAGAGAGAGAGAGAGAGAGAGAGAGAGGGAGAGAGAAGTTTAAAGAGTCTCCTAACCTGATGCGCGTGTATACGCATACTTTAGGGATATCAATCGACCCTTCTTCCTTTCCCTTTCCCCTTCTTCCACATCATCCTAATGTGTCAGCACCATTTCCTATCTCTTTCACATATAAGTTTTTATTTAACGTTTACAGAGATTACCTTACGAAACTTATATTCCATTCTTATCGTTGCATAACCACAACACACTCTCATAGATTTCTTAATCCTGTTTAATAAGTTTGTTAAAAAGTATAAAAGGAATAATATTTTTTAGAAGATTCGAGTAGATTATTCTGTTAACAAAATCTTTTTCCCCTTTTCTTTTTCTATTTCTTTCCATGGAAAAACAATGTAAGATCGTTCATTTGTCGCGTTTAATTAACGTTTGGGGTTTTTTTTTTTGGTTTTAGGGAAAAATTTATGTCGCACTTTTGGCAACAACGACGAAACGAGCAAGTTACTGCTTCGCATTCGGGGATATAGATCAAATCGAAAAAAGGATGAACGTCGTAGTAGAAAAAGGCTAAATGGATTTCGACGGCTTTCCCATACGAATTCTCTTCCTCGCGTTTTCTCTCTCTCCCTTTCTCTTTCTCTTTTTCTTTCTTTCTTTCTCACACATATACTACTTTTTTTTTTCCTTTTTTTTCCTTCTTTTTTTTCTTTTTTTTATCAGAACTCGAAATGCACGACATCGATGCATTTGCAGAATGCACGCAGTACCATTTATCTACTTTCGACAGACGGTATTTTCGGATTTCCATTTTCACAAATCCCTCAAGCTGCCATGTCATACTAGCAGATAATCATATCGATCGTTCGTCACCAACTAGTTTCTGTCTTTCTTTCTCTTTCTATTTTTCGAGCTTCATCGAGTGCCAACCACTCTACACTATTTTCATGCGAAGTATGTTTTCAAATGATGGAAAACGGAGCTGATACGGTTCGTCATTTTGCAGTTAGTTCCTTATGACCGATTTATCGTTGAAATTTCTATGTTATTATGGACAAATTATCGAATATTGTTAATGATTCGAATTAATAAAAAAAAAAAATACACGAATAAAATTACAAGATAAAAGAAGTATACATAATACTACACACCATGGGAGGAGTCATTTTATTAAACAACGAGAAAGAAAAATAAACGAAGATCATTATCGTACGACTCTGATTTATTTCCTTTCTTTCTTTCTTTTTTTTTGTTGTTTTTTTTTTTTTTATTTTTCGAAACGAGACAGTAGCGAGTAGAGAAAAGTCGATGGTAAAAGTTCCGAAAGGCGCTTTCCCTATCGGCAGGAGGACATTTTATAAAGAAACTTTTCGCAATGAATCCCCATGGGGAAAGTTTATCATTTAGGACAAAGGTCTGCCGCATGGTGGTAGCGTACACTCGAAGGACTCTTTTGGACTTTTCTTTAGGGGAGGATAGGAATCGAAAGGTGAGACAGCAAGAAAATAGACAGAGAAAAAGAAAGATAGAGAGAGAGAGAGAGAGAGAGACAGACAGAGAGAGAGAGAGAGAGAGATCAAATGAGAAAAAAAGAAAGAAAGATAGAAAGAAAAAGAATAAAAATAAGAGAAAGAGTAAGTAAGAGTACCACCGTATGTTCTTCGGTTGGTCGGACGGTAAACCCCGGTGGTAAAGATGGGAAACGATTTTTCCCTCTTCCGATGTCTCCTAAGATCTTCTACTTCTAAGATCGTAGAAGACATTGCAGTAGTTTTCTTAAGAACTTCCTTAGGATGAGCTGGGTGTGAGAGAATGTAGAAGGAAATAGAAAGGAAGAGAACATCAGCAACATCGTTACCGGTCATCCTTGTCCCCATTGGTAGTATATTTAAACGACCCCCCATCTCGTTATTTCTTTTTATTTTCTTATTTATTTTAACAATCTAGAGAGAGTGTACGGTTTAATCGAGAAACTAGTAGGAAAAACAAAAAACAACATTTCTCTTTGCGAATTTTTTCTCAGGTTTTATCTAACTTTGTTATATTATAATAAATATATTTACACGTAGAATCTTATTTCTATCATACGCGAGACATCGTTTTACGAATTTAAAATCCGTTCGGATATTTCCGCGAGAGTAGTGTGAAGTCTTTCAATTTTCTTTCAAAAGTCATCCGACTTTACTTTACTTTCCGTTTCACCGATCATCGTATTCCATCGTGCGAAAATAATCTTCGACATTTTTTTTTTTGTTTTTTTTTTTTCAATGCACCATCGTGATCATCCTTAAAGTTTTTCCCCGACAAAAATATCTTTAACGTTTCACGACTTTAGGACCAATCTCGTCGTAGTCGAAGTTTCGATTATCGTTTAGATCGCTATCGAAGAACGAGAGATAGGAAAAAGTTAGACTGTAAAGAAAGTGTTTGAAAAAAAAAAAAAGAAAGAGAGAGAGAGAGAGAGAGTAATTCTAGCAACGTTGTTGATAATTTGAAACTTTTCGCAGAGAAATCGAATTTTTCCAAATGAGATGAGGCAGGGAATGGGAGGGGAAGAATTTAAGAAGGAAAAACACACATAAAGACAAATAATTGTTTCTTAAAGTTTTTCATTTTCTTCAACTGGATCACGCGTAAAAGCGAATAAACAGAAAACTCTGTAGGAACGATCCAGACCACGAACGTTCGTACGTGCGTCGAGAACTTATATGTAGAAGGAAATAGAGCAAAGGGACAAAAAAACGATTTTCCCGTCGCCCAACGTTTTATCGTTCCATAAAACAATGCGACCGTGCATGACTGCAGTTAAGAAAGAGAAAGAAATAGGAAAGACAAGAAATACGTGAGAATTACGATCGAAGGAATTCAAGGTAGCCATTATTCGACTACCTTACAACGAAACTAGAGCTTTCTCATTCAGGCTTTTGTAGTATGTACAATATGTGTATGTACGTAAGTACGTACACATATATATTTCGGTTCCGTTGATGTACGCGAAAGCTTAAGTAAGATTCGTAATTGGATGCTTTTCTTGTTAGAGAAGAGTTCATCCTTTTGGTGTCCTCGCGTTTTCGTTCCGAGTAAAACGGATTAAAGTAAATAACAAAATAAATATATAGAAGGGAAGAAAAGTAAAAAGAATAAAAAAAAAAAGAAAAAAAAAAGAAAAAGAAAGAAAAATGGTCTTATCGAATTTCTCACGCCAGCAACGAGAGAGAATTTTCTTTAGCTTAGCAAGAAGTCTCGTTCGTTACGTTCACGGAAAATGAATTCGTTTCTACCAACGATTCGATTTAATTCATTCGACGTAGGAGTATCTGCGAAGACCCTTACCAAATGAGCCAGGGCTGTCAAAGACTTCGACGTAGATGAGAGCTTTCAAGCTTTCACATAGCGTAAGCTTACTCGTGCTTTCCCTTTTCTACCAACCCGACATGGATAATAATAACACGAAGCGTACGATTCCCCCCGAAGGTTGTAATCTATTAATCATAACTCCCCTGAAGTGTAGCCAATTCATCAGATGCTCGATTCCATGAGTAGAATTCTATCTTATTTAATTAACAATCCTTGGATACAATATTAATACGCGTTGTCTATATATATACGTTGCTGATACTTACGAACGATTTAGAAACATGAATTAAATTTTTTCTTCTAATTTTACTTACTGGTACATTTCATTTCTTTTTCATGATTTCGAATTTTGAGTAGTTTCTTTTAGCAACTAAATTTATATCGTAGGGAAATACGGAATCAATGTTAAATCGATAAATACTATTATAGAAACGTTGATTTTCTCCACTTGCATCGCGTGAAATTGTTCACAGCCGTAGAGTAGGGCGTGGTACTTTGAGAAAAGGGAAAAAAAGAGAAAGAGAGAGAGAGAAAAGAAGAAATAGAAAAATATAGAGGATACGAGACAAACGTCGGTTTGGATACAATTCCTGGCTAAAAGAAATCACAGACGGCAAGCAAAAGAAAAATCCAATAGCCGTAGTAATCTAGGAAGAGTTGTTCCTAGTCGTAAGGGAATTGTGTCCCTTTTCGTTAGCCAAACATCTCTTCGTTTCACTTGCTTGTTCGTTTGTACGTACGTATTAAAAAGAAAAAGGTGCAGGATCATTTTATTTCAGTCACGTACCACCTAAACGTTCCAAGTTATCGTCCTACGGTGAAAAGTACATTTTTCGGAGTGAAACAGACGGCCATCTCGGTATCGTTTGGCTGACCTTTTTCTATTTTGTCAGTTTGGCTTGATGAAAAGGAGCAGAACGTGAACTAAAAAAGAAAAACAAATAAAAATAGTTGCTAGACGAAAACTACTTCAATTATTATCGGTTCTTCCTCGTTCCTCTTACCTTTTATTTCGGCATACGTTACTTATTTCCATCCCTTGTTATCTTATACAATCTTTAAACCAAATTCCTACTATCTCTTTTACTTTCGCACTATTGGAAAAAAAAAAAACACGATCCGATAGTGGTGATTTTCTACGCTTATACACATGTATGCATGTGTACAATACATCGGTCCACGACTACTAGTTTTCATTTCTCTCCCTCTCCCTCTCTCTCTCTCCTTCTCTCTCATTCTCTCGTGGTTAATGCTCAGCTGTATCGCCTGTAATTGAACTCGAGCACGCGGCCACGCAACAAAAGCCGCCGTTGCACCGGATTCGAATGATGGTTTAACATGTCGTCACCAGCCGTCGTCGTGTTGTATCTGGTAGGCGTGCGGCGGGTAATCATTACGATCGTACACGTAGCCCGCGGGACGCGCGTTACTCTCTGCCGGAAAGCCTGACAAGTAGAGCAAAAGAGAGAGAGAGAGAGAGAGAGAGAGAGAGAGAGAGAG